ATTGGACAAGCTAGACTACTTGTCCGGGACGAGATAGTGGAGGTTCTGAACAGTAAATTATCTCGTCCAACTGGTCTGGACGAGATAGACAAGCAGTTCCGAACGCACCATTTGGCTTAGTCCCCTTTGGCTAGGTTTAACGATCATGGAGGATGGGGGCATACCCCTGCCCTTTTCAGCTAGTTTGTCAGCAAGTTCATTCCCTTGAATGCCAATGGCCTGGGTGGGACCCAGTTAATGATAATTCATCTACGCAGACTGAGAATTCTTTGGGCTATGGTTAGTACAGATGTCAGGAGGTAGATGTTGTCTTGAGGCATACTATGCTGTAAAATGTCAATGGTTGCTCAAGAGTCTGTGTGAATGACGTGTCCTGCCCTTAGGGACGCGTGTGTCAGGGCTTCCATGATCGCAACTGTTTCAGTTTGGAGCGTTGAGGCATTGTCAGTGACCCTAATGGATGCTGTGGTATCCCTTGTTGCGAAGTCGGCGCCTGCAGTATGGTTTATGGGATCCACGGATCCGTCCGTGTAGTATGTTATGCTACCCAGAGGAGTTATTTGATCAATGACCCTATGTGCTTGTGCCTTTAGACTAGGCATGGAATATTGATCTTTTCTCACTGAAAGGTTTAGGATTGAGAATTCGATCATTTCGTTTGCCCACGGCGGGGGTTCTTTGTAGTCAGGGTGAGGGGAGTCCATGCCCTTGGCAAGCAGTGATTCTTTTAGCTGAAAGTGTATCAGTACTCTGGCTGTGTGTGTGAGCCAAGAGTTGTCCGCAAACAATTGATAGTCTTGTTGTAGGCGTCTGAGTACTCTTTGCCTTAAGTAAGAGTTTCTGTGTGCCTGCAAGACCTTGGAAAGGAACTGTGCTGTCATTAAATCAATTTGGGTGTCCAGGGACGGTAAATCAGATTCCATGAGGAGGTTGATGACCTTTGTCCATCTGGGTGCTCCCAGAATGATCCTGGCAGCTTCATTTTGTATTGTTTCCAGTCTTACTTTTAATGTTGTGCTGGAAGCAATGAAGGCGACAGATGCGTAGTCAATAATAGGACGGACAGCATGTACATAGAATGATCTTAGTACTTTGTGTCCTGCTCCTGTGTGTCTCCCTGTCATGACTGACAGTCTTTCCTTGGTTCGGTCGAGCAGGTATTGGATCTCCTATCCTGTCCTATCCATACACCAAGGTATAGGTAGTCCAGATCCTGAACAGTGAGTTTTTTGTTTCTGACAATAGTTCTCAGAGCCATAGCTTTTGATTTTGCTGCTGATATTTTTAGACTCATCCTACAACACTCTTCGGACACAAGATTCAGAAAACGCTGAACTCTAGTTAGGCAGTGGTTGCCAGCAGCTATGATTGCCAGGTCATCAGCATAAGAGATGATCTTGCATCCTTCTGGCAGGTGAATGTCGAGTATGTTGGACATGAGGGTGTTGAAAAGGGCTGAACTGAGAACTCCACCCTGAGGTGTTCTATTCTCAAGTGGCGTATGCTGTGAGAGGTGGTCTTGAAATCTGACATTTGCTGATCTGTTTTTTAAATATTCAGCTATCCAGGCCAAGAGTCTGCTTTTGACTACTTTGTGGATTAAGGTCTCCTGAATGGCAAGGGGGCTTGCCAGTTCAAAAGCCTTCTCCAAGTCTAGGAAGACAACCATAGTGGGTGAGGTGCATATTGTGCTTAGGAGTGTGGAAATGCTGTGTGCTGTGCTCTTAACCCTTGTGAACCTGTGCAGGTGTTCATGAGGGGATCCTGTTTTCCATCGGAGCCTGTTGAGTACCATCTCAGCTGTTTTTCACAGGCAGCTAAGAAGAGAGGTGGGACGGTACTTGCTCCTTTGGTTTAGGGATGGGAACTATTGTGGCTTTTTTCCAACTTAGTTCCCCGAGAGAGAACAAGGCATCCATGTCATCGGGTTCAAGTGCCTTGTCTCTGATGAAAGCAAGCCTACCTGGATTTAAGTTTTGTTGTTTATCGCTCATCACTGGAGGCAGGTTGTTCTTGCTGGTTCTTGCTGAGAACTCAAGCCCTAGTCTGTGAGCCTCTGACTGTGGGTCATGATGCATGCATTTCGGGGCTTGGCGCTTGCCTGACCCGTTTCCACAACTCTGTAAGGCTGGTCTGGTGTCTAAAAGTCTGGCAACCGACGGCTAAGGCCTGGGTAAGCCTTATTGCTGTTGTCTTGCTCTACTGGAGGATCGTGAGTGCTGAACTCGGTTCAGTCAATTCAGTCAGATTTGCAAAGTCATGCTTCGCCCGGGCCTTTTCTCTGGAGTGGCCCGGCCTGTGTTAACTATTTCTAGTTAACTCAGATGTTTTCTTTGAACTACATGCTTATCGCGGTGGCTGAATTGCGAGCAAGCGATCCAGCTGCCATGGGGTAAGCATGTTGCAGACCTTTTTTACCAGCCCGGCAGCTGTGGTGGGTGGTCCCTGCCTCAGAAATTGTGTGTACACAATTCTGCAATTAATGTAACAGGGTGGCGTTTGACTCGCCGCAGTGTTTGCATAACCTGGCAGTCTCATTGTCAATAATTTGCCAAGCGCATGGGTAACCTAGTCTTAGTCTGAATAGTATGACTTCGGTACCTCTTTTTGTGTTTGGAGGAAGGGCCAGTGGCTCATAGCCTGAAGCATCTGAGTACCACTTGGCAGCGAGCGATTTTGATATTTTCTCTATGTGCTCCCCGGAGGACCGCACACGCTGCAGCTTTGGTACTTTGGCCTAGTCCTCTTCGGGTGGGTTTAACAATCATGGAGGATGGGGGCATACCCCTCCCTTTTCAGCTAGTTTATCAGCAAGCTCGTTCCCTTGTATGCCTATGTGGCTTGGGGCTGAACTCGGCCCAGGCGCCGGAGCTTAAGAAGGGGTGAGCTGTGCCAGCTTCCCGGGAACGAGGGGAGCGTGCGGTCCAACAGGCGAGCCGTGAGGTGTCCGGTGTCAACCAATCAGGTCTCAGTATGCTTCTTCGAGAAGCTGCTGATAGTGAGGGTTGTGGACCCAGACCTAACCTGGGGGAAGAATGCCCCGCTGCAGGTTGCAGGGGTCGGCTACACAACTACTAGGTAGCTGGGTCCCAGGAGGGCTAATAGCGAAAGTCTAAGAACCGTCTCTTAATACATGTGCTGTATATCTGATATTTAAAAAAAGTACTGATAAGTCAGTCAAATAGCTATTCTTATTTGCTATATATGCATTTTTTATTTTACTTTTTGCCAATACACGTCTGTTTGCGAAATGTGTATGTGTATATGAAAAAAATGGCATACTTGTCCTTTATCACAAAATCAAAGTTCTTATGTGTATACTTTGTGTATATCTTGAATGTATAATATGAACGAAAAGTAACATTTTTTTTCTCCAAACACGGATTCAATAAACAAAAAATATGCTACTTATAATCAATTTAGAATATCAACTAAACGCAAAACTCTGGTAGAACGCCTCAACAGTCTGTATGCGTTGTGTGGGAAAGAAATGCAGCTGTTTAACACTTTATTAAGAATCTCTAGTTATATAATTCATACACATTTTGGACCCCTTATCACGCAAAATGCCATAGCATGTAGTTGATAATATATATATATATATATATATATATATATTATATATATATATATATATATATATATATATATATATATGTATATATATTATATATATATATATATATATAATATATATATATATATTATATGTATATATATATATATATATATATATATATATATATATATATATATATATATATATATATATAAACAGATTGATAGATATTCCCTTTTCTTTTCTTAGAGGATGGGAGGCTTCAGTGAATCGACTAATTGGGGATGTTTATTGATTTTGGAGATATTTTTACTATGATTGAATTTTTAAAGAAAAAATGGTAGTAACTATAGTAAAGGAAGGCAAGTACTGGGGCTAGTCATGTTTACAATAACAATGAATTAAAATTCAATCCGTGTCTAATCCCTGAGACAGAGGTGACGTGTTCATGCAATGTCCCGATTTCCTCCTTAACTCTTGCCATTCCCTCGTGGCATGATCTTAGCTGCTGGGAGGTCCTTTCATTAGCCGTTTCTCAAACATTGGCAATGTTCACCCCAACATTTTTCATCGGGATTGAGTCACATCCCTTGCTTGGCCATCGAAGGACCTCCAGGTGGTTTTAGTCATGAGCCACTTCCTGCGCAAATATGACTGTTTCTGGGAAGGGCCAAGGCAGAGCAGCGTACTGATGGAAGAATCATTTTTTCTAACATGGCCACTCCTCACCGTTTCATTGATAATTCGTCTGTCGTATGTGAAAAGTATATGGTATAAAATCCGAACATGTAATATGACGCATAGAACACTATTATGTATAAATATCGCAAATTGAAATAAATAGGGTTAATTTATATATATAAATATATATATATATATATATATATATATACATATATACACAATATATACATATATATACATATATATATATATATATATATATATACATATATATAATATATATATATAATATATATATATATATATAATATATATATACATATATACACATATATATACATATATGTATATATATATATATGTATATATATACATATATATATATATATATATATATATATATATATATACATATATACATATATATATACATATATATATATATATATAATATACATATTATATAATATACATATATATACATATATATTAATATATATATATATATATATATATATAATAATATATATATAAATAATAATATAAATTAAATAATAATATAAATATAAATATAAATAAATATAAATATAAATATATAATATAATAATAATATATATATATATATATATATATATATATATATATATATATAATTATATAGTATATATATATATGTATATATAATATAATATATATTATATATATATAATATATATAATATAATATATATATATATATGTTAATAACATAACACCTTTTATCTCATCCAGCACGGAACTCCCCCGTGTATTTCCAGCATATTTTTCTCGGTCCTTATTACTCCTTGCTGGTAATCTAGATCTTCCTCCACATACTGCTGGGCGAACCGGAGGCGATGTTTGCAATGTTGTTCGTTCAACCTTTCTTTGATGACGTTCTGTGATGTATCCCTTCTGCATGTAGTCGTTTTCTTCACCGTGCAGCCAGTTACCAGGAGCTGGTCTTTATAAATTTTAGCAGCAGTGGTGGGAGAGGTCAGTCGTTATGGGTGCCCTCCTCATCTACCTTATCTATCTGTATACCATCATCCGGTAGATGCCCAGCTCTCTGGATCTATTACTTTCCCTTACCCCATTGTAACCTCTATTTGTGGTTTCAGCTTGCTTTGCGTCCCTCCTGAAAAAGGTGACAGTTTGGCAGCCTCGTCTTCACTTCGTGTTTCCACATATCATAAGGTCTAAGACCATCAGAGATATTTTCCGTTTTATTTAGCATATGTTAGGATTAGATGCAAAATAGATATTCAGGAATTGACGAATATTCATTCGCATAAAAACATGAAATATACTATTTCCTTTTGTAAACTAGTCAAGATAGT